GTAAGTTGCTAATAAGGTATTATTACGTGCTCCTAATTCCTACTGGGAAATAATTTATTTACATACAAACAAACGTACGGTATCAGTCATATCAATAGCACCCCCAATTCTAAAAGTGATATTGTGTGCCACTTATGTTTGCAACAAATTTTCATAGAAATTTCAAACGTTTCTCTCACACTAAAATTGGATGGGCTAACAAACTGTAACTATATTCAAAAAATTCTAGCACTTCTGAGAAGAAAGTTTGAAATTTAGATGAAAATTTGTTGCATTTTTTATAGTTTTCTACAAAGTTTTAAACTTGGGTTTAGTTAGAGAATGAACTGTATTTTGATTGAAAATTGAAAATAAATAAACATAAATGCCAAACAATATCACTTTGAAATGGGGGTGCTAATGATATTACCGATACTATATGTATTTTCATTGTATAATGTTTTAATTTTTTAAACTTAATTGCTCCAAAATGTACTCACACTGCTGCACAGTGGTAAAAAAATAATTTTGCGTGAAAAAATCTTAATCGATAATGAGATAATTGTTCTTTAAATGTTCGTTATTCATTGATTCGATTACTTCAGAAACCGGTCAAGTGCCAAAAGTGCGGTTTAGAGAAAACTAAAAAAAAAGCTGTCCTGTTAGGAAAGCAGTTTATTTGCATACATTCCCAATAAACATTGTGGCGAACGTTCGAAAATTACCTTCGATATCCATTATACATATCGAACTGAGAAAGAACTCATAACCAACCTTAGTTTGCCAACGTTCATAATATATTGGAAATACACTCGAGATTGGTTCGAAAAAAAATGGAAACCAAAGTAACAAAAGAGAAAGTGAAATCCAGCTCATTCTTTAAGGAAATACTATAAGGCAATCACTATCTCTCATTAAAATTTCAATTCGATTATGGGCTGGATTTCGAATTCATAACGAAGTGAAAATGCATTCGATAACGAATGTTCCGTTTTGCTGGAGAATGGCCTAGTTCTCGAATCGAATACTACCCTATGCCACATTCGTTATCGAAGGTGAGACTTGGAAAAAAAGATTCGTTTCCTAATCATTTTCGAATTGTTAATCAAGCCCAATGTTCATTTGGTTTTTTATTGAAAATAATTATAATATCGAGTACTTTTATGAAAGCAAATATGTAATTTTTTGTTGTCACTTAACAGCTTTATGCTATAAACGACATAATTATTCGTTGTTTGTGGGGTTGTTAGCAAATAAAATTATCGTTGAATTAGAATTATTTTTAAAATTTAAAATTTTTATGAAGAAATTAAAAATACTTGACATTTTCGAGACCAAATAATTCGAAAAAAATCAAATCAGCTACTATACTGATACTACCTGTTCAATGTGCCTGGGCCGGAGCACTACCCCAAAGAAAAATTAATAGCGAACATTAAAAAAAAATACCGAGGTCCATTAAGATTTGGGTAGGCAGATTTTTAACACAAAGTGATTTTCCCCCACTGTGCCTGTGAGTAAAAAATATAAAAAAAATCACCTACGGAATGCCAGCACATTAGTAAGTCACATTGCAAGTACAACAAGCAAATAAACAAACAAGCAACCAACTAGGCAGACAGCTCACAAACTGGTAGAACGGCTGATTGCTGCCAACGCAGTGAAAGCGTCTAAAAAGTGTGGCACTGTTGCTGGCGCTGCTTTTACCGCTGTCACTGCCTTGACTGCCAATGTGGCTAAGGTAGCTATGTACGTAGGTGCTCTTACTTTTCCAGCGCATCTCATTTGCAAGCATGGAACGACAAAAAGTAAACAGGTAAACAAACCTAAATAATCGCGCATATTTACACGTACTATCAATGAGATGAGGAGGGTACATATGTACTTACATACAATGCCGGACAAAGGTATTGGTACAGAGAATTTTTCTCAATGTAGGCAAAGTTTTTTATTCTAATAACTTTTCGCTATTTTTTTTTTTAATATATGTACTTCATACCTCAGCAAAAAACAAAAATAAGATCTCTAAACTTTTTGCAAAACTCAGGAAAATTCAATAAACTTGCGTACTAATTTGCACTTTTCTAATCAGATTTTTTAGAAACATTGCGGGCGGTGTTAATATTTTCTTCCATACAAAAAAATACATTGTATGGAAGTAGGTAACTACGAAAAACAGCTTCTCATAAAAATACTATCGCCGTTCGGAGTCGGCGTAAAACTGTAGGTCCCTCCGCTTTGTGTGACAACATCAAGGCGCACGCCACAAGTCGGAGGAGAAGCTCGGCCAAACACTAACATATGTGTAAGCGCCAATCTATTATTAGGTAACTACGAAAAAAAAATTGCCAAAAATCAACGCGATTTTTCAGCAAATTCACTTTGTTATACTAAAGTTTAATGGGCTATAAAACTGCATACTTAGAATTTTTCTAAATAATCTGATTAGGAAGTTGCAAATTTATCGAACTTTCCTGAGTTTTGCAAAAAGTTTAGAGATTTTATTTTTTTTTTTTTTTGCTGAGGTATGAACTATATTTGCGTATATTGCCAAAAATACTTTGTGCTTATACTTTTGTCCGGCACTGTATGTATATGTGTGGACTAGCAGCGTTTAATATGGGTTGGTTTGCTGGGAGTATTATGCATGCCACAAATTATTTAAAATATGGCAAGTAAACGCAAAGATTCAAATGCATGTAGGTAGTATGTACATACAGTGACTGAAACAAATGACCACGTGTTGATTTTCTTCAAATATTCGTAATGTTTTTCGAGCTAAATTTTTTCAATCACAGTTTCAAACTTTATACAAAATTTCGGAAAATTCAAGAAATTTTCATCAAAATTTCAACTTTTTATTCTGAATTTTTAGAACATTTTTGGCTATGCAGTCTTATAGCCATTATAATTTTAGTCTAATGAAGTGTAAGTTTTAAACGGCTAAAAAATCGCGTTGATTTTTGAGAAGTTTTTTTTTTGTGACGGATTTTTGCACTTTTTTCATATAAGCATGAATTTCTTATGAAATAAAATGCGGGAGACCGTCAGCAACAAAATTTCAAAATAACAACACAAGTAGCCTAAAAAAAAATAAAATCTTTTTTTTTGTAACGGAGTTTTGCACTTTTTTTCATGTGAGCATGAATTTCCTATGAAATAAAATGCGGGAGACCGTCAGCAACAAAATTTCAAATTATCAACGCAAGTAGCCTAAAAAAAATAAAATCTCAAAAATCAACACGATTTTTAGCCGTTTGAAACTTGCACTTCATTAGACTAGAATTGTATGGGCTATAAAACTGCGTAATCAAAAATTTTCCAAAAATTCAGAGCAAACAGTTGAAATTTTAAAAATGGTAAATTTTCCTAAATTTTGTATTAAGTTTGAAACTGTGATTTTCACGGTTTTGGTTAAAGTTTAGACGATATTTTTATATAAAAATAACAAAAAAATGTAGCTAAAGAAACAACATGTGGTCATTTGTTTGAGTCACTGTATGTATGTAAAATATATGTCCACTAATAATATACATAAATACGTATGTATGGAAAATCTGCTACATGACAGCCCTGAGAACTCGGCTGAGCAATCACTCCGGTAGCAAACTTTAATACCAAATGAGCTTGTCAAACAGACGGACAGACATTCATGAATTGGTGTTGCGGAGTCAGTACGTGCGCCCAGCTAAATGCCAGCACAGTAAGATGGAAAGCGCTGTGCGCTAGTGAAACGTCCAACAATGCTTGCTTAAGAAAAAAGGTTTAAAAAAAAGTATGAAAGTAAAAAAGTGGGGCCCATACACATTAATAGTAATAATAATAATAATTTAACTTTTTACGTTCACATTTTGCTATGTGTGTGTGTATGCATGTGTTGGTAAATTTTCCTAAAGGTTTGTGTACACACACATGTTTTTCTTTGTACATCATTTATTTGTGCTTTAGTACGATATTTTGTTTTGTTGGTTGTTGAAAAGCCGGCATGGTGATTGTTGTTACTCGCTGCTGGTCGCACCTTTTGCCCCACCCACCCTGGCGCACCATTGTAGATGTACCTATGTATGTATATACAAGTACCTATAACGCAATGGTGAGTGTTTGGAACAATGAAAACGCACTCGACCGTGATTCCCTCGTTGAGTTTGATGAGCACTACTGCGCTGAGCAATCGTTTTAGCTATGATTGTAGCGGTGGCGGTGGCGATGAGGTTGATGGTGACTAATGGCGTTGTTGGGTGTCAGGCAGGCTAACAACGTTTGTGGTTCGAGCGCAACTTATGGGAGCGAGCACAAATACGTCTTTCTAGGCTGTGCTTACAATTTAGTTTGTGTTCAACTTTACATTGTTCACCAGTGGAGCAGTAGAGCAGCAGCGGCAAGCGTTACAACTTCACAAAACTCGTAATTGTGAAGTTTTTTAGCAGCAGCTCTTTGCTGGAAGTGGAAGTGGATAAGCGTGTTGGTGGAAGCTTGTTTGTGGCTCCTAATGAGTAGCAACTTCCCAATACGTTATGCATACTTAATCTACGTATGTACGTAGTCGTGCTCGTAAAAGGAATCTTCCGCAATGGACAAACAAAAGCCAACAAACAGCAACAATACGCTGGCCGGCAGTGTTCAGTTGGTGAAGGAGCGTAATCGCAGCAGCAACAAAGTGAAACTTTGTGGTTATTTGAAGAAGAAGCGAAATGTTAGTATCAACCAATTGAAGTATATATGAAAATTGGAAAACTCAAGCGGAAAAATCAGCTAATTTTTTCATATTTTTTTTTTTTAACTGTGTGAAATCGTGTTTGTGGTTATTTTTATTAGAAAGTTGGTGGTTGGCGTAAGATGTGGTTTGTGCTGCAGGATAAATTACTGCTCTCCTATGGCTCCAAGGAGGAGTATGACAATAAATTGGTCTCATTTAAAGATGTACTCAACCTGGTGCCGGGTACAATGGTGCGCCCTTTGGGTGGATTTCGCTTCACCATCGAGACAACTACGCACGTGATGTATACGTTTGTAAGTAATGATTTTGAAAGAACTATTAACCCGTGTGTACAATAAGTTAAATACCGTAGATTTTATGCTTCTGATGGATTTTCTTTAGCATTGTATGCCGTTGATTTAAATATCGTCGCTTGGCGCGCAATATCTTGCAACCGTCAAATGCAATACCACGTACAAGATAGTCTGAAATTTTCACAAAAAGGAAAATAAACTTATTTTCTTCAAAACTTTTGAATTATTTTCTAACAGAACTTACTTAATATCAGCTTTTACTATAATTATTCACCATTCAATTTGTGAAGTATGCAAGTAAATATTGAAATTTTTTTCTCGGTGCCACTTCATGCGTGGTATTCAATTGGCGAATGCGACGAAAACACAAGTTTTAGGTCGAAAACCAGTTTTAGCACCGAAAACATATTTTCAATGTTCGTCCGAACAAGGTGTAAGTTAGTAAGTATTTCACTCATTAATTAGCCTTTTAGAAAAAATTTCAGCGCAATTTTGAATATTCGATTTTTGACAATTATTTTCTTGCTGAAGGTGTTGCTCATTTTCCCCGTACAACATATGCTCGAAATAGTTTTTTATGTAGGAGAAAATGTACATGAGCGTAAGTCCTTGCATATTCAAACTTGCCCCATGCTTTACTGAAATCCACACGGCTACTAACATTTTTTCTAAAAAGGGTAATTGAGGAGTGCACAATTTTTATGAAAATGAGCGCAAAGTTTGGAACCCAAATTTTAGGAGTTTTTGATGTAGCAATAGCCGCTGTGGTGTAGTCACAAACAAGAAGTTTCCTTTTTAGATAGCGGTCGCCCCTCTGCAAGCAATGGCAAACCTCCGAGTGTATTTCTGCCATGCAAAACCGCTTTTCATAAAACTAAATAAAAAATAATTCAAATTTCTTTGAAATTTTATAGATTTTCTGGGCATACCGTAGATTAATATGCATCAAGTGAGGAAATTGGAATTGGTAGGGACCAAGAACATAAGGTTTGATAGAAACTAAATGTCGTTCCCGTAGTTTTGTTCTCAGGAACGCTTCAAAACCAAACCCAAAATGAGAACAAAACTGTGAAGAACGTTCTCAATGGGAACTATACAGGAACAAAATCCTGTGGCACGTTCCCAAAGAGAACGAATTGCTAACAATACTTTCAGGAACAGTGCTTAGAGGACAAAATGAGAACAAAAGTGTCCGGAACGTTTTGGAAAATATGAACGTTCTCGATACTTTCGTTGTTATTATGTTCTCATTGTTAATGTTCCCGAAAGTTTCGTTCCCATTCTGTTCTTCTTGAGAACGTTCCCAAGAGTTTTGTTCGCATATTGTTCTTTACGGAAACGTTCCTTTCAGAATTCGTCTTGCTTCGAAATGAAACGAAAACTAAGTGAGGCCTCTAAGCGTGGATCTTAAAGATAAAAAGGGCTAATCAATTGAAGCAGGTGTAGGCCAGTATACATATAAGCAAGTTGATGTTTGAATATTGATTAAAGTTTATAATTTTATTTTTTTTTTATTTCAATTCAACATAAACTACTTATATTTAGACGGATTGATTCAATTTAGTTGGTCCCTTGATTTAATTTAATTCATTTTAGTTTTTATTTGAATTGAAATTCGTTTATTTATGAGTAGGTAATCTACAAGTATTTATTTTTACTTAATTAAATTTATTTCAAGTTAATGTCTATTCACTATGCATTTCATCATTTCCTCTTTGGTTTGCCCAGCATTGTGATGATCGCAATGCCTATCGTGAATGGATTACCATGCTGTTGGATAGCTTATCCGCTACAGTAAGCACTAAAGTCATTTCCGCCACTACCACCTCCTCTTCCCCAATAGCCTACTCTCTGCTGCCATTGCAACAGCAACGTTTCCGCAACATTTCCGTCGACAATATTCCGCATGCGCTTTGGTCGAATGCAGCACAAAATTCGCAGCGTCAGCGTGAGCTCTCGTCCAGTTGTGATTCAATGCGGCAGCGCGCCGAATTTATGGATGGCGCTACTGAGTACGCGCATTTGGAGCGCATAGGTAATATAAAAACAGTCGGTGGTATAAAATCAGCAGCGCGGTCACCGTTGGCGCCAGCATTGTCACTGCCCACTCACGGCAGCAGTGGTGGGGGTGGTGGTGGTGGTGCGGCGGTGCGTTTGCCAATCGCGCGCAGCACTGCGAAAATACTGGAGCGTAACGGCGTGAATTCAAGCGGTCCGACGAAAAAATACCAACAGCAACAACAACAACAGCACCAGTACCAAAAACGACAGCAGCAACAAGTGAACTGTTGCAACAGGAGTAGTGGCACAACAGTGAACGCAACAGGTAGCAAAAGCAACAAGAAAAATAACCACAACAACTTTGGTAATAATAGCAACGACAACGTCACAGATGCGCGTTTAACTACTGAAGCGAGGTAAGTATGTATGTACATACTTCGCATGTGAATGGTGCAATTTGAACGAATAAAAGAAACCAGGCGCAAATGCAATTTGAAATTCAAAAATACCTTTCATATTACTGAACATAAATAAAACATTACATAATGGCATTTTAGTGCGACCCACTTCCGTTTGCATGGTGAAAGTCATTGGAGTGATTTTACCACACTCGACAACGGTCTACATCATTCGGGTACTGGTAGTACCACAACATCAACTTCCTCATCAAGCTCCTCGCATCGGCCTATCAATCAATCAGTTTTGAAAATAAATAGTATGTTCCAACAACAACCAAATTCTTCCTTGGTGTCAGAACAATGTGTCAACACAAGTCACCACAATGTGGTGAATAAAGAATTTTTACTGCATCCAAAGCCTAAGCAAACGAACTGTGATCAAAGCGAATTTATTCCAAAGCTTAACCATAACAAAAACTCAAAGATTGAAACAAACGATCGCAACAATACATTGTTTGTGGATTGTTGTTCGATGAATGATGATGCTCAAGTTGTGGACAACAATGTTGATGGAGCATATTCCTGCTGCGCCAAAGATAGGTGAGCAATAAAGCCACAATTTTATAATCTGCATTAATAGATATTTCTGTGTTTTCTTAAAAACCCAGTGAGAATAGAGATGAAAGCCATTCTGAATCTAATGGCGAAATTCCACTTGACAACAAACAATGTGGGAGCAGTAAAAGAAAAAATACTGTTTTACACATACAAGATATGTTAGTAAACGCCCCTTACTTGTTGTTGAGCATAGTTTTTTTTTTTTTTAATTCAGGAAAGGATTTAGGAAATAGTCAGATATGAACCAAATTGTGTTTTGTGATCCGCTCTATAGCCCAATCTCTATAGACCAATCAACGTGCGTTCATATTTAATAAATAGCTGACTGGCATTTGAATGGCTAATCTAATTTTAAACTAAGCCGCGCACTGAAAAACTGGCCCTAAAAATCTTATCCAAAATTTCGCTTGGATTGGAATCGGTTTAATAGGTTTTTTCTATAATACTCGTATGGAGCACACACCTGAGTTAAGAAGAGTTAAAAATTGCAATAATGCAATTTTTTTATCGATTTCACCATTGTCAAGTTCCTGTTGGGATATCCATAGATATGTGTCTAGACGATGTGAGTTTGTAACATATTGATATAGGTATATATATGTATGTATATCGTAAGCAAGTACGCCCACACTTTTGTAGCGAAAAAAAAACCAAAAAAAACTCTTTTTTAATATGCAGGGGAAATGAGAGTTCAGCTATAAATAGCTGCATCGAAGATACTAACTTTTACATGTGTGCATATACACTCACGAACAAAAGTATTGGCACAGTGAATTTTTCGCAATATATGCAGTCTTTTATTCTAATTTACTTTCGATAATTTTTTATAAAAATATATTTCATTCTACACAAAAAACATAAAAATAAAATCTCTAATTTGAAAACTAATTTGCTACTTTCTATTCAGATTTTGTAGACAAATTCTAAGTATCCAATTTTATAGCTCATTCAATTTTAGTATAACAAAGTGCAAGTTTGAGGTTGCTAGATAATCGCGTTGATTTTTGGCAATTTTTTATTTACGCAGGTTCTTCCATATAAAATATGTTCGACAAAAAAACTGCCAACAATTTTTTTCTAGCCACTTACAAATTGGTAAGCAGATTCATCAATTTTCCTGAGTTTTGCACAAAGTGTATAGATCTTATTTTTATGTTTTTTTATGTAGAATGAAATATATTTTAGAGATTTTTATGGTGTTTGGTGTAGTATGAGCTATACTAAAAAAAAAAAATATATCGAAAATAAATTAGTTTAAAAAACATTGCATTTATTACGAAAAATTCACTGTGCTTATGCTTTTGTTCGTCACTGTACATATATCTGTGGTCACAAGCCATAACAGCTTAAGTTAAGAAGTTGATTTTAGTATAATGCCTCATTGCTTTTATTTTATTTTATTTTTCATGAGACTTGATAGGTATATTGAAAATAAGATGCTGGCACCAACAATTTTTCTTTCGGGTTAGTTTGCCAATAGTTTTTCTATGGCAAGTGCGCCATTTGCAATATCAGGCTGGAAGTGGAACATTATACTAAAAACAACCTCTCGATTTAAGCTGTTATGGCTTGTGACCACAGATAGTACAAAAATTAAACAAAAAGAGAGCTTGGAGCGATGTTATTGATGTGAAATAGAAGCTTTAAGTGGCGCTACATACCGCGTCTAAAAATTAAATGGCAAACTAGTTAAAGTTTAAATCTGGTTTAAAAAAGATGGTGATCCGATTTATAGAGAAGAGGGTATATGGTTTAGTATAAATCTCAGCTTGGAAGACACTGCAGTCCTTTGGCAGACGATAAGACTGCCAGATTTGCCAGTCCTCCCAATAGAGATTAGCATCGATTCCTTGTTCAATATTTGAACCATCAGTGTAGGTGGATCAGGGTTGGGCACGCTGCTCTAAATTTGTAATGCGCTGAGCTTGTCATTACCACTACTCGAGTAGTGGTAGTGAAATTTTAAATGCATTACCATTAAGTGCATAGGGTAATGACAAATTGGTTTCACTACCACTATACACTAAGTGGAAATGCATTTCACTACTACTATATGGTTAGTGGTTATCAATTTTTGAACAAACCTGTTGTAAGGAAATGGGTGTTAAAATCACAGATCGCAAATTTTCCTAAATTCGAAAACTAGTATCAGCGATAGGGAAAGTTTCGTTCCCTTACTGCTTACTGAACTAGAATTTTCACTATCACTATGTAGTGCCTGTGAAACGACTGAAGCCATAGTGGTAGTGGAAATTACGATTTAGTGCAATTTACCTAACCCTGAGGCGAATATACCACCAATGTCACAGATAACCCTTTTGTTCCATTTTCCCTGTTCGAAAAGTGTGTGGCCATCCTTGCATTTAAGTCACAAATCGGCGTAATGCAGGCAGTGCTGGCATCCAAGTCTACTTTGCTTTATGTTATGTGTGTTTGTACATATGTATTTTAATAACACTGAAAAATACAAACATTTTAAAAGATTTTTAAGCAAAAAACAAAACCGACTTCAATTCTCATATAAAAATTTAAGGCTGACGTTAATTTCTTCATGATCCAATGATCGGATCTAAACCAAATTAGTATGGGACCACCTCTGAGGTACCACCTTAACGTGGTCCAAAGTTATGCATTAACCTACATAAAGAATTAGAATACATAAATAAAAATATATTACGACGAATTGATAACCTCCTCCTTTTTTGAAGTCGATTAAAAATTGTGCATTAAGACAGAGTTTGGTAATAGGCGATTATTTTCTTATTAGTGTAATTCTGTACAAAATTCAAACCAATTATAGAAAATGGTATAAATGGATAAATGATTAAACTGATATTCAACAGAATCGCTTACGGCTCATACTTTCAGATGTATAACATCATAATTATATTTCTAAGCCTTCAATTCATGAGTCTTCCCCAAAGCGTTGACTTTTTCCGTCCTTTCGTCATACTTCGATTTACCTTTTTTCTTGTTTCAGGCTTCCCATTTTACTTCGCCTTTTAAGTCCAAGAAACCGGGTTAATCGGTTTTGATATTTAGTACTGTATAACTCCAATAAATCATTATCGGATGGAGTAGAGGTTAAGTTCTTAACATACTCGGCAGCTTCATCAAAATTTTCTTGGCTAACCATTTTTATAGATCTTGTTTCGCTGGCCATTATAGAAATACGTTCGATTAATAATTTGTAATTAAGGCGGTATCTTTTCATTTTACTCAGTGACAAATGGGCGCCTGAAGTTCGTTGGTTTCCACATGTTGGCTCGATGGCGCCCTTTGTGAATATCCCATGAACGAAAATAAGTAGTGGTTGCAGGTGAAAGATCACTCCTGAAGTGCGCTACTTACCGCTCCCCATATACCCAGGCATACGACTCTTTGCATTTTCTCAATTATTTTCTTGTTGTTCAATTCGTCTTTAGCTTTGCATCGAAGTAGGGATCCGCTCTTTCTTGGAGGAGCTAACTCCAACTTAAAGATAATGACAAGTGCTCATTCCAATAGCCCACTTACCATTGGCAGAAATTCGCTTAAGATAAATACATATTACCAAGTCGGAATGAGGAAGTTTGGCCACAGGCTCGACAGAAAATGGGTATTACAAAGGGAATTTCTAGTCGTACAGCTCTTTTTTTCTTAAATTAGCTATTCAGTAAATCATGTACTAAACTGGTCCCAAATATATTGTTTTAGATATGTATATGAACATACATACATATGTGTGTAAATACTTGCGCCCAGTGTAGGGTACTTTCATCAATGCATAGATAATAAAACCTCGTGTCTATAAAAACCTCAAAGGCATCTGGATTCTGCGGATACGTCAATGTGCTGGCTTCGGCTGTGAATGAAGTTCAATTGTGGATGCAAAGCCATCAGCTAGTCTAAAATAATTCATGTGCGGCGAGGTGCATTGTGTTCATACACACATACATATGTATTTTATATTTGTGTGCCTGCATATTCGTCTGTTTCCGTATTATGGTGTGCTATTTTTGACTCCACTCTAAAGGCAATGTAAACAGCAACATAGAAGGTACCATTGAGTGTCGGCAAGTAACAATCAGCATCCAGCTATTAGAAGCAACGACAAGCACAGAATACAAACTCGAATGTCACGCAGGAAAACGTATATATTTACATACACAAATACGTACAGTGAACCAAATACAAACTGGGACGCGATATTTTTGCAAGTTTTGACTATGTTTCTTTAGTTTATTTAATATTTATTTTTTTGAAAGTGTAGCTAATTTCTTAATATACACCATATACCAAATTTCAGACTTTGTGTAAAAATTATGAAATTTCTGCGAAAATTCACCAAAAATGTATAAATTTTTAAACATCATGTTTAGGTAAAATTTTGTTAATTCAAATTTGCACTTTATTGTACTAAAATTTAATGGGCTACAAAACTGCTTACCAAAATTTTTTCTTAAGGTGCTGATTATGAAGTTAGAATTGTTGGTGAAATTTTGCAGAACTTTCATAATTTTTGCACAAAGTCTAAAATTTAGATTTATATGGTTTTTGTTAAGTAATCAGCTATACCTTCATAAACAAACATTAAACATTAAATGAACTAAAGAAAAAAAGCCAAAATTTGCTCAAATCTCGCGTTCCAATTTATATTAGGATCACTGTATATATACATATTTATATAGAACTACACACATACATATGTATGTATGTGTATGGTACACACGCTGTTACATGGAGTTAAAATTGTTTCGAGCCATTGATTCACTGCATTTTGCAGCAGCGCATTGCCTCCATACGAGACATTTCAAATGATTTCTAATTATATGTCTAAGTAGAACTGTTTAACGCACAAATGGCTACATATAAGGTAGTGCAGAACGACTTCCTGTTAAGCGTTTGCACCATACAGCGAAGACACTTGAAATCACTGGAAAAGTAAGAAATCAAACCAATATTCATTCAAGTGTATTTAGTTGAATTATTTAGGAATAGTAGCATGTGCGCTCACAATCAGAGAACAGATGCCTTGCAGATATGCCTCTGTAGTTCATCGGTCTACAGCGTACTCCTTTATGCACTTACATACTTGCATATGCACTGAGGTGTTTGTGTAATGTTTGTTTTTTCGAGTTTCAACTTACAAAAAAAAATCCTTTACTTGCAGCAAAGCAATGGTAATGGTGAAAGACCAAATTCAGCGAATGAACATCAAAGGCCGGAAGGAAATGATGTCGTATTCGAATGCAGACACAGTCGATAGGCGTGAGCGCAAGCGAGTTGTCATAAAGAAACGGTTGGAGGAGGAGTCGATTATTGAAAGAGCCAGTATGTCAAAGGCAGTAGGCGGTGAAGAGTGCAGCGAAAATTTGTTACACAGTAATGGTGAAAATGATATCGAGGTGCGACCACTTGCGCTGGGCAAAGATGTGGAGACAACATTGAGCAGATCTTCAGAGCCAATTTATGCTGTGGTCGATTTAGCGCATAAATATGCCCAACGACAGCAACGTTATGGCAAAAATAATCTGAAAAATTTAGATACGAATCTTTGTAGAAGTTATGAAAGCATTCTTCAAGGTGTGGAACCTTGTATTGTGGCGCCAATCAGAGGCGGATCGATAGAGGTTAGTGAGTCGTTAAGTTTAGCTGATGTATGTACGTACATAAATATTTATCAGTTTTCGTTATTTATTCATTTCAGAAATCCACTAGTAAATTACATGTCGAGGACGATATTGACGGCATCTATGAGGATGGTGATAAATTTGCTGAATGTTGTAAAAATGGTGACATGCCTGATGGCGAAGATGATGAAAACATATACGAACCTGTGGGTTTCGAAAACTTCGCGAATCCGAAGGTGAGTTTTTCAAAATAAATCTTATATGTATGCATTTTTTAGGCCAAACAAAGTCTACTTGGTTATGGATGAACTTCACCTATGTGGAAAGATTCATTTTATGATTAGAAACAAAAATATGGTTTTTCAGAATAAACCGATCTACATACATACATATGTATATCGTACTGTGTGATGATGAGATGCCAATCGATTTACCGATTTTAGTTTTTTTTTTTTAGTTTTCGTATCTACATATTCAAACCAGGTCTATTTGAAAGAGCAAACCTTTCACTAAAACAGAGATATGTTTATCTATTCCCCATAACGTTCTGTTAAGAGATATAAAAATTTGTATGAAAGGATCTTGAGACAAATTCTCAAATTCAGTTACATTTTGGAAATTAAGCCACATATTTATAGAAACTTCATATCGATGGCTGAGTGGAAGATCGACCTATCTCGGCAGCCAGTTCGAAAACGCTCTATCTCTAAAAAATTTTCAAGAACGCTCTACTTCAGAATTTAATTGAAAAACACCTCATCTCAAAATTCGGTTCAAAAACGCCCTATCTCACTTCAAAATGTATTGAAAATATGCTGATATAGGGCGTTTTTGAATCGACAGTTGAGATAGGGCGTTTTTGAAAGGAGTTCTGAAATAGGGCGTTCTTGAAAAGTTTTTTGAGATAGAGCGTTTTTGAACTGGCTGCCGCGATAGGTCGATCTTCCACTCAGCCATCGATATCATATCAAATCATATGTATCTTTAAGATATATATATACTCAATTTATACATATGATTCAGAATTAGGATATGTGTAGCTTAAATCCCGTAAAACTTGAGAAATTGCGAAGTTTCAAACCTCTGCCGGCCTCTGAAATGCAGCCGATTTTTATTAGGTTTTTTAAAAGCATTTTTGAACCAGGTTTTAAAAGCAGTATGGTCTTAGCAAAGATAACAAACACTGTGGGCAACATGGAGCAACATAAATAATTTTCATTTTATTTTTAACCGCATGGTATATAGTCCATTTTCAAAAACTGTGTTTTACTGTAACGCTCATATCTTTAACATAACTTCAGCTAAGGCAATGTTTCGAACATCTTATAAAAAAGAATTTATATTATGTAGCTTAAACAACAAAATTGTTTGAATATGACTTTGCAGTGACTTCAAAATAAGCCTACATATCTACCGTTTGCAGACGCCATAGAACTACATGCATATGTGCATATGACAAATACTTAAGCTTAAAAAAATGAGTCCTTGAAAAACTAACGTATAACTTTCTTTTTTTCAGATCAATGCCTCCGCAACGCAACCCAGTGCTCTTTGGCGATACATTACACGTTTGAAAGTTAATTCACTGCTACAATTTACGCGCATGCGCCGCAACAATCATGTCGACTATGATACCATTGATTTACCTACGCCTGCAATATCACCCACGCTTGCACCAAATCATAGGAAAACAACGACACTAACAAAGAAACATCATCATCAACAGCCTTCAACAGCGTGCACAGCAACAACAACGACATCACAATTCGCCAACATTAAACACAAATTTGGCGCACATCGAAAGTCAATGCAAGTGCGCGTGCGTAAAATGTGTGCGCGCACCCACGAACCAAAGACAACTTTCAGCAGCAGACAGCCAATGCAGCAACAAATTACAGCGGATGGTCACTATAATGATGGAGCTACTAACGGCATCATCACTGGCAGTACTTGCGGTGCCAGCGCTAGTGGAGGTGTGGGCGGTGGTGGAGCGAAGAAATCGAAGTATCGTTGGAAATCAGTGAAAATTAGGCCAAAACATTTCAATGGCGCCACTTGCAGCAACAGCAGCAGCACAACCGATGATATTAGCAACAAAACAACAACAACGCGGCAGAGTTTCTTTGGCAGTCTGCCGCATTTGCGTAGAGCGCGTGTCTCACTTTTCTCCACGCCAAATTTGCATGCGACGACGAAAGATCAGAATAGTAATGTCAGTGGGGTGATGAATAAAGTGGCAGCGGATTTGGCGCATGCCGGTGACAAAAGTGAATGAGCAGCTGAATATGAGTGTTGTGAATTGTATGTGTGTACATATGTATATAAACATATGCATGTACAAGTTGAAAGAATGTGTTTTTGTACAAATCCAAATGCATATGCAAAAAGCCCTAAAAACTGTATGTAAGTAAAATTCAGTTCAAAAACTAGAGCAACTTCAGAGATCCTGATGTCGAATAGTTTTAGTTACTTTGTTTTTAATACAAATTGTCGAAGGTGTCTTCGAATATTTTGTATAAGTTCGAATAAGACTGTATTTTCCTGTCTGAAACATGAGAAAATATATCACCAGCTTAAAGATGACAATTTTCTAAGTCGACTTTTTGTTATAACTCATATTTTGACATAAGCATCAAGAGAAATTAAAAATGCATCGCTTCCAAAAGTATTTCATTTAATGAAACACAAATTTGCTAGGTCCAAAAGAGGCACAGGAAATTCGATAAGTTTTTTTCTAATAGCGGTCGCCCCTAGGCAGGCAATGGCAAACCTCCATGAAAAACAGCTTCTCATAAAAATAAAATCAACATCAAGCCGCACGCCATAAATCGTAGCAGAAGCTCGGCCAAACACTAAGGGTGCGTTCACACAGGAAGCGGGGTCGAGCTGGGCGGAGCCGTTCCGAACTTTCAAATTAATGTAGCTATAGGAAAGTACAGCAAGCTTTTCCAGAAGCGTTATGGAGCTGAAAGCAAAGCATTTTTGATTTTCAAATTTCCTTTTGATTTTTCAGTTTCATGACTCTGATACGAACAAAAAATCAAAATAAATAAACGCCAATCTATTATTATTATTAAAATAATAGGAAATTTTTTAATTAATTCGAACGCTTCTGATTCGTATGGAGTTTAGCTTTGCTTTAAACATGCACAATGTTGAATTCAAAGTCTTCAAAAATACCTGAAGAAAATGGCTATAAGAAGTTTTTTCCTCTCCTGCAAAATTTTTAAAAATGGATTTTAAAAAATAACCGTGCCATTGTTATGATTCTCATTTGATATGCCATTGAATTATCCATAATGAAAGCAAGCCTAATGTGTGTATTCCACTGTAAATTAAATTACAAAAATTTGTGTTTCAAAGTTGGACTTAAAACATACAAATGTCATTACGTAAACTTTAATTAAGTTCGTTTCCACATAGCATTTTCAAATGGTATTTTTCTTAACCGATTTCAAAAAAAAAGAAGGAGGATATCAATACGTCGGAAAATATTTTTTTTATGTATGTTACCGCATAACTTTAGACCACGTTAACAGATTTCTATAATTCTTTTTTTTAAAGGAAAGGTGGTACCTCAGAGTTTGAAGTCGGTTTTGCTTTTGCTTAAAAATTACTTATTTGTAATTTCAATGCCATATGGAAATTCGTCATAAAGGGCTTTCCAAACCCAATTTTTTTTTTTTTTCAATTTGACTGACATGAAAAGTGTAACTGTTGCACCTTTAAAGCTTTATTCCAATTTAAGTAGACAACGCATGGCGAAATTATAAATAGGTGAAGTAATAAAACAGCTTTATCACTTTATTTTCTCGACATTCGGCTATCTTACAGAAATTTTTATAGGCAAATTTTAAAATAAGATACTGTCAAATTTTTCTTCTCGCTCTTACTACTTCACCTGGTATAATTTCACCATGTAGATAAAGTACAGAGTAAATAAGATGTTTACGAACTGCAGTTTACATAAAAAGTTGCATTACCCAACTCGACAGAAATTCGGGGTATCATAGTATAGATATGAGGTTCTTTCTTTGTCAGAAGTTGCCAAATTTTACCCGAAGAGTCTTTGATGGCAAAATCAAAAAAGCATTAAACCATTAGATCTGCCGTGCTGTCAAAATAAATTGAAAGTTGAGTAAACAAAACGTAAAGCACATCTGCATTTTTACATTATGAAAAATATCGTAACGAAGAAATATCAAGTTTTGGAAGGAATTTTGTTTATTTGTCAGTACATTTTCTTATAATTTAGCAAATCGCCATTTTATAAAATACGGTTATGCAAATAAAAAGTGTTGTCTACGATTTATTTGACAGAATTACCAGCATTTTCCCATATCTCTGGAGGTGTTTATTGCAGAGGACTGGAACTTGGCACCGAGATGTATATACAAAACTTATTTCATACTTATGGGAAAAAATTTGGCAAGGTACCTCCCGTACAAATTTACTATTTTGTACTGCATATCTCTAGAGGTGTTCATGGTAGAGTACTGGGACTTGGCACTGGGGTATATAAAATCAATTTCAAACTCATGGATGAAAATTAGAGTTATAAGGAAAAGGAGCGTGGCGCTTCCTGTACAAATTTACTTTTTCTTGCCACATATCCCTGGAAGTGTTTGTGGAAGAATACTGGAACTTGGTATGGAGTTGTGTATACAAAATTTATCAATTGCTCATGGAAAAAATTTAAGTTATTAAAAAAGGAGGCATTTCGCCCTCCCATACATACTAAAACTTTCTTAATACATATCTCTGGAAGGATAGAAAATCTCTGGAAGTATTTTAAATTTGTTATGGAGGTTTATTTTATAAGGGCGGTACTGACAGAAAAAATTTCATTTAATGGAAAACGAGAGCCGGCTTCGGCCTTATAATCTAAAGCTCTCATGATGCATACATACATCTTGAGGCATGTAGCTACAGTAATGAGAAGTGGTATTTTATCATGGCCAGGATACTAAACTTTAGTTGGAAACATTACAACCCGCCGTGGTACCTCCCAGAAGGTTACACTTTCACGCGGCGTATCCCTGGAACCATTTTAAGGTAAACTTAGAGGGATTTATACCTTTCGTATGCCTAGCATGTAGACGAGATTTTATAATTTCATAGTTTTAAACGGCCTAAATACCTTAACTTGCTTAAAAAATGTAGAGCTATAACAAAATGGGCACAGAAATAAAATATAACATCATTAAATTATTTTTCATATTTAAAGCCCGCGGGTATAAGCTAGTACTTAATAAAATAAAAAAAGTGAGACTCAAATTAAATTCAAATGTTAATCAATTTATGTAAGTGAGGCAGTAACAAAAGTAAGTATAAAGCATATAAAAATAGTAAACTTCTTACCGTTTAATTCATGTTTTAAGTACAAAATTGCAATAATCTTCGAAAGACATGTTCTGCAAACTCTGAGTTTCGCTAAGTGCAAGTTCGCGCTCAATGTCCTCATAGACGACACATTCCATAGGATGAGTATTTTCGGCGTAGCCAGCAGCTTTGCATTTCATGTCGAGTACTAGGTTCATTACTTCGTCATTAATTTGTTTAGTTGTTTTGGGGTTACCATTGGTATCGTTCGATATTTGCAGGCGAAATGGATTTCGCAGTGTAGCTGTCTGGTCAGGTTTTGTAGATCGACTCACATCTTTTGTATGAGTTCGCTCTTGAGACTTATGCGCACATTTTGCCTGCATGTGGTGCGATGTCTTGGAAGCCGTTGAAATCGCGTTAGCTTTATATTTAATATTTTTATCGTCTACTGCCTTTTTAACCAAATTTAATGCGCATTGCCCGTTCTTATTCATATTCATAAATACATCTTTTGCTTCGCGTCTCGGTGTTGAGCTACACCCTGGTACTGACTTCTTCTCTTCTCCTCGGCTAATTCTGCTATTACTTAATTTTGCCGTTATATAGTCGATTGCAGCATTTGTGTGCCACATGCGCTTATAAATATTTTTAAAGTTAATAATTGTACGTTTTTCAGGGTGTAAACGCGCAAAAGCCAGAGCTACTTTATAGCATAGTAAGTAATTTTCGACGCCTTTCGGTGTATTTTTCAATGATTCAGAGCTTTTTCCGCTCAAAGTGATGCTCATCAGAGACATATCTTCATCTTTTATGCTGGCGTCGCACCATGACATATTCAAGCTGTCGGTCGCTTTGCGAGAAAAGTCCAAACCGCATATTTCATAATTTTGTTTAGATACTGAAGCTGGTGAATTTACCGGATTCCCTCCAAGAAAATTAAATTTGTTTAAGTTTCGATGAACAGCCTGTGGTCTGTCAGATTTGGTATGTTTTTGATTTTCTTCAATTTTATCATTTGGCAAGTCGACTCTTGTAGTCAAATTTAAAGGTTCAGCAATGTGGATCGAAACGCCACCGTTATCTACATTTGAAGTCTCACGATACAACGTTTGCGTTTTTGATATTGCAGCATCATTTGCAATAATACTTTTATTATTTTTTTGTGCAGGTTCATAAGACGCATGTGTCTCTGGGATCTCCAGAAAAGTGCTAATTTGCATATCATATGGAATTTCGCACTCAGATGTTTGTGGCGTTAAAATTTTGATATTTTCATAAGACCCTCTTGGTTGTTGCATCTCAGGGAAATTAGAAGTTTGAGTGCCTTTTGAAGTGTCACGTTCCGTTGTTGGTAGGTTCAATAAAGTTGAAATTTCATTGTGTTCAATAGTGTCAACACTATGCGCTCTTTCGCGTAGTCCCGTTGACTTTTGTGTTTCTAGAAATGCAGAAATATCATGTAAATCCGGTGTGGTTGCTCTAAGCGTGGGCAATGCCACTTTTAAATCATTATTTGATTTATTCTGGCTCTCCTTTAATCTATCAAATTCTATATTTCGTTCTTTTAATAGTACCACACTAGTAGCCGTTTTAACTGATTCGGTTGTAGTGTACTTCCTTTGCGTAAAAAATTGTGTTAGTTTAGTCTGTACCAATGTTGCATTTTTCTCCGATTTGTTTGCGGAATCATTGAACAACAATGCTTCTTCTTCTTTTTCATTATTCTTTAACTCGAAATTGCTATCATTAGCTACACTTTTAGGTACATTTTGTGGCTGTTCATTTTCTTCAGCAATTGTAGAAATCGTATTGTTTGAAACTTTTGGTTTGGCAAAGGTAAAGCTTTCTAAATTCATGAAGCTTCTGCTCTTACTTGTAACTGTTGAGTCAATTGTAACGTCACAAATGTCAGAAAGGGATAAGTTCGGCTTTGTTTTCCTATTACGTTTTGTAACCAATCCCGATTCTGATTGCTGCTTCCTTTTTTTACCTTTTTTTGTTTTTGGTGTGATTACGGAGTCCTCCTTGATGGGCTCATTTAAAACTAGCGTTTCATGTACATCAACGCCAACTGGAATGAGAGAGAGAGTGTAACATATGTATTTTATTTTATTTTGAAGAAATCAAAATGGAACGGAGTTATAAAAAAAGAGGAAGGATATGAAC